AGTTACAAATTGTTTCTTTAATCAATAATTTCAATAAAGGTTTTTTTTTCGCAGCATTTTTTATATATTATTTGACAAAAAAAAAAAATTCAAGATAATTTGATTTGGGCTAAGGATTTCTTGCGGTGATATACCAGAATGCTTATCCTACATTCTCAGTTTTGGAAATATCTAATACCTACTTTTTGGTAAAATTATTAATATTATAAATTACATGAGATAGGGAACAGAACTCCCAAATAATTTTATTTTACAAAGGACGAATTTTGACATTCAAGGAAGATAAATTCAAGACATTTTGATTTGGGTTAAGGATTTCTTGCGGTGATATACCAGATTAATGCTTATCCTACATTCTCAGTTTTAGAAATATCTATTTTGATATGGGCTTAGGATTTCTTGCTGTGATATACCAAAGTAATGCTTATTCTACATACTCAGTTTTGGATATATCTATTACCTACTTTTTGGTAAAATTAATAATATTATATGTTTTTTATTATTTTCGTTTTTTATATTGTTATCAAATGCGAGTGTGTTGAATGATGACTTTTAAGTCTTAAGGTATAAATATGTAATATATTTTTTATATTTTCACATCTTTGTCTCTTTGATATTTCTACCTTCTTTTATTCATTCTTTTTTACATCTCTTTGCTCCCCTAAAACCCATCTTCCACCTTCACGCGGTGGGGAGCGAATAGCAATGCTGACCAATGGGAGCTCTGGTATTCTTAGTTATTATATTCTTCATTTTGCCCATCATAATTTTCTCACTTTGATATAAGAATCAGAAATTAAGAATATCTTATGAGGTATGATTAACAAATTTACCTCTTTTTCTCCTAAATTTTAGTATATTTATAAAATAGATTAATAAAGGTTATATAGTACCATATACACAAACTAACTAATTACCCCTCCGCCCCGTCATTCTTGACGGGTTATTAGCTATTATTATCTTAATTCTTATACTTTGAATTATTACAACAGTAATTTTAAAAAAATTATAAACAAATTTGAAAAATTTCGGGGATAAATTATCAACCACAGAATTCGATTTATTAATTTGTAATTAATCTTTCTGCTCGTTGAGAGATTGAAATAATATCGTATTTCTCTATAAATACTTCTGTTGTTGATTTTAGACCTATTCAAAAACGAATGTAATTTCGGATTATTCAAATTGAATAGAAATGAATAATAAATTATTCGTTTGTTCGAATACGAATAAAAATTATTTGATTAAAATAAAAAGAAAATCAAATTATTTCAAAATTTGTTTTTAATATTTATAAAACTGTATGGTACTGTACTCATTCATTTAGTGCATTACATGTCCCCCCCTGCATAGAAGTCAGTTGTAGCGCGATTTTGTAGTTTGCACGTCGATTAAATGACGTTAATATGCATTCTTATAATTATAAATAAAGACAATTTGTTGAAGTGTACGACAAAAGGCACTACAGTTGACTCCTATGTATGGGCACTTTTAATTAATAAATCGCTAACCTGTAATATATATTGTATATCATTGACTATACTATGATTATTTAATTTGTATAAAATATTGGAATATATTTGCTTCTTTTCCTTATACCATTTTAACATATTACCTGCCCTTTTTAAATTTAAACCCTAATAAAGATAAAAAAAATAATAAATAATTTTATTACATAAAAATTTGGCATAATAGGGTTAACCAGCACGAACAGTAGCCAAGAGCTAAAGATAGTAGAAAAGAGTTACAGAAAAAACTGATCCAAATAAACTGGGGTCAGTCAAACTGGGACAGATATTCTTTCGGTCCCTTAAACCTTGACAATAATTTTAATTTTATTGTTTTTCAAATGTTTTTTATGTATTTTTTTTAAAGCAGTATTTTTTTTATTTGCCTTCACCGCTTATTATTTTTCGTTAAAATCTCAATACTTTCTCAATCCAATAATAAAAAGAATCAGATCTGACATATTATTTTTTAGAATATCGGATCGAGCTCGGTTTAAGAAAATATTTAGATCGATGGGAAAAATTTTTATCTGGAACGAGTCAGACCTGAAAAAAATAAATACGATGCTGGGCTCTAATATATTACATGCGTTTGAAAAGGACACCACTATGTGACTTAAGAAGATATATATATTAAATATGGTTTAATAAAATTTGATTATTCATAAAAAGTTTAAATATCAATACCTTGAAGTAAATTACCATGGAAGTTGAGTGTTTTACCGGTGCGAATGGATATTTAATTTTCAATATGCTTAGAACTAGTTTTTCAGTGGCTTGCTAGGGGGTTGCGCAGGGGCTCGAGCCCCCTAAAAAATTTGAATAGCCCCCTGAAGCAAAAAAATTTTTTTTTATTGGCTCCTTAATATCTCCTTGAGCTAAAAATAAATTTTTAATTGCCCTCTGAATAATTTCTTTTATAATTCTATTGAGTAATATATAAATTTAATTTTATTAAAAAATTAATAAGACTATCTTAATTTTTATTAAATGAATACTATTTTAATTATTAGATTAGATTATTACATATAAATTATACTATGTCAGCTTGCAATCAAATTCTGTGTTAAAAATATAACAATATCACTCACTAAATATTAATTTAGCTTTAACAGTTGAAGCTTAATTGACTTTTATTATTTAAATTATTATATAACCCTAATAAATATAATCATTTATTAATTGAAAATTAATAATTTAATATTTTAGCCGAGGTCAAAATCACTAATCAACTATATTATTGATTTTTAAATTTAATTATCATGTCTCTTCCTAAAATTATTTTCAAGGTCCAAATCCAAATAAGTATGAGATTTATTTATAAAAAGTATGTAGACATATAGTATAAAATCCTCTATTATATATAATTTTTTATAAAATATTAGGTAAATGCCACTTTTACAGACGTATCTGACAGTTATATAATATATTACAGTTAATATTTTTAAAATTTTACTAATAAATGCTTTTGATAGTAAATATAAGTTACAATTTGCTTACAAATATTTAACGCCATCTATATATTTAAAATATAATTAAAGTTAAACGTATTATTATTCATCCCACAATACAGCGTCTACATGGCAGAAAATTTGATGGAGGCAAACCCCTCCAAAATCTACCCATACCCACCTAAAAAAAATCCTGCGGCCTTCGGCCGCGAAATTTACAGACCTACGATGGTATAGTGATTTTATTTAAAAAATCTTATCTGCCACCATTTATAACCTTACAACATAATTCTATTTACAATCTTTCAAGCCTATTTAGGGAAAAAAATTTAAAAATTTGTAAGTGATAATGAACTTTTATTTAAATAATGCAATCTTTTCATAATTTGGTATTCACTTTATTTTCATAAATATATGTAAGTGATAATGAACTTTTATTTAAATAATGCAATCTTTTCATAATTTGGTATTCACTTTATTTTCATAAAATATATATAAGTGAATTAAATGAGATAACATATTAATATTTCTATGAAAAAGATCTAAAATATTGTAAAAAATATAAGACGAATAAATTTAAAGAGGTATATTTAGCTTGATTCCACATAATTAAAAACATGTATTGTAAATAGAGCTATTATATAAAATATTAGAATAAAATGAATTATAGTATATTTTGCATTGAAATTATAAAATGTTAAATTAAATATACATTATTTAAAAGCCTATATATTCGCTGTGAAAAAGATACATTAATTATTTTATTAATAATTTGGATAACCTTATTGATGTTAAAGCAAATTGTGTTATAATATCATCAATTGTAAATTTTTCAAAAACATCAATTTCGCTGGATATTAACAGTAAATTTTCCAAAAATGGGTCCGAAATTTTATTCCGCATTCGAGTTTTGTTAATTTTTACTTTACTCATGGCTCTTTCGGCTGAACAGGAAGTTGTAGGAAGGGTTAATAAATATTTATATAATAAATTTAAATTTGAATAAGAATTTAATTGATTTAAAAGTCGGTATGATAATATAAAAGAAAATTTTATCCATTTTTTTATTTTGGTCATGATTTCGCTGTTGATATTTTCTTTGGTAATTTGATCGTTTGCAATACCTTTAATTATATACAATTACAAATAAAATATCAATAAATTACTTTCATCAATATATAACGCGTCATTCTTTTTAACTTTTAAAAGATCTTCGCAAAAAATGATTGATTGAGACTCCAAATATAAAGAGCGAAAATCATTATATTCATCAACAATGTTTTGGACATCCAATTGATAAGTATTACAAATTTCGGATATTTGCCATCCTTCTATTTTTTCATTATCCATAATTCCAGCGGGAGTAAAAATGGATATCTGTGATAAAAAATTTAAACAATCATAATTAAATCGATCATTTAGGTGATTAATTATTGCATTTAGAACAGGGAAAAATATTTCCGTTCTATATCTACAATAATAAATAATAATTTAAATTTTTTTAATTTATTCAACTTATTTTTTTTTTGTTCAACATAATTATTGAATTCTGTTTGATCCAATTTGAATATTGATTTCATATTATACAAATCAGTTATTACATTATTCTTTTTCAAAAAACTATTAGATAAGGAATGTAATTTTAAAAATATATTGTCTCCATTAGCTATATTTTAAAATTATTTATAGAAATAGTAACTAATATTAACCTTTTAGTTTTTGTAATTTATTTTTTGTATGTTGTATTAATTTGGTTACCAAAGCCAAATCATTACCAACTGCCTGCATTTCAATACAAGCCTCATGTGTACATTTCAATATTTCTTTCAAAATAAAAAGACTTAATATAAAATTTTCATCTTTAATTCTTGATAATAACCCATCGGCAATGGAAGAGGTGCTTGGGTCATTAGAATCTTTTAATTCAACTAATGATGCTAAAATATGTTCATAAACATCTAAAAAGATTTCTACAGATTTGTAAGATAATGACCAATTTCTGAAAATATATAAGTTTCAAGTTTCATTAAAAATATTTTATTTACCTTGTTGTGTTTTTAATTCTTTTAAGAGATTTCTTGGACTTTCTCATTTGATATTTAACAAACACACCTTGACGTCTAACTCCATTCATAAAATTATATAACTCATCTAATATTCCCATTGCCTTTTTCATTTCAATTTTGCATCCACAAACATGAGCAACTACTAAATTTAGCCGATGTGCATGGCACCAAATATAGATGGCTTTTGGAGCCTCTTTCAATATTAAAGCCTGCATTCCATTGTATACTCCTCTCATATTCCCTGCACCATCCATACTTTGTCCAACCAAATAATCAAGAGGAAGACCAAGATCATTAAACTTAGAAAAAACATGTTTCTTTATATTTTCCCCAGTGGTTTCTGATGTTGTAAAAACATGTATGATCCTTTCTACAGGATGTGGATGCAGATCATCTTCTATATACCGTACAAGCAAAGCTATGCATTCTTTTTTAGACACATCATATGTTTCATCTAATATGATGCTATAGGCACGATTCTCTTTAATTGTTTGAATAATGCTTTTTGTTATTTTTATCTTAATAATTTCAGTTATTTTTTTCACGTGGCCATATGACAGTAAATTTATATAAGGTCTCGAAATTTTATCTGATTTTTTTCTCCACAATTTTTCGTTGTTATCCATGTATGCACGTAAAGTTGGAACCGTTTTTGCCATTAATTTTATGAGACACATAAAATTACCTTCATTCGAATTAGAACCCCAAAAGGCTATATTACATTTTATAAGGTACATAATGGCATTGATAATATTATGAACTATATTACGATTTTCCATGATTATATCAAGCTTATTTGATAGCAAATGATCTTGAATGCGTTTATTTGCAAGCCAAGTCATGTTTGCATATTCACAATCTTTATGAAGAGAAGATGCTTCGTGTCTCTCTAAGTCACGCTTTATGTTTTTCCAATTATTTACCCCATGTTGAGTCCAAAAAGTATTGGACTTAGGGCCACCAAACATAATACAATATAGACAAAAGACTTTGTCTAAAGTAGTGCTATAAAATAGCCAATTTCTGGGGTTGAGGGAACCATCTATATTAACCTTTCTATAATAGGTTATATTCATGCTCCTGTTTAAAAAGTTAAAAAAAATATATTGGTATAGAAATAATGGATGGGTAAAAATTAATGAAAATAAATATTATATAAAACCTCTTGTTAGTAACAGGATATTGAAATTTATTTGTACATGGCTGACAAGGGCCTACAGCAATTATGAAATTTATCAAAATATTTGTCATCCTAAATAATATAAAGTGAAAAGGATCATTTGGTTCCTTTTTTTTGTATAGCTGAATAAGACTTGGACTTTGAATATTCTCATAATTTATTCCCTTCAAAAGTCATTATATAAATTTTATTTAAATATAATGCCTCATGCAAAGTAAGTGCCTCACTAGAACCGTGGATTGGATGAGGAGATAATACAATTTGTGAATCTTCAATATTGGAGATTTGCTATAAATAAAGAGTATAATTTGTTTACTTATGAAAATCTATTTTTAATATAATTTCAGCCAAATGGTCATTTTATTCTTAGCTACATTATAATTAAGTTAATCAATAAATGTTGGAAATATTTAAATGTCCTAATTTATTTTCTTCAAAAGTTATCATATAATTCGTATTTAAATTAAATACCTCATCATGCAAAGTAAGCGCCTCACTGGAACTGGGGATTGGATGAGAAGATAATACAATTTGTGAATCTTCAATATTGGAGATTTGCTATAAAGAGTATAATTTGTTTACTTATGAAAAACTATATTTTTAATAAAATTTTAGTCAAATGGTCATTTTATTCTTAACTACATTATAATTAAGTTTTTAATAAAGGTTGGAAATATTTAATTAACCTCATAATCATAATTTATTTCTTTCAAAAGTTATCATATAATTCGTATTTAAATTAAATACCTCATCATACAAAGTAAACACCTCACTGGAACTGGGGATTGGATGAGGAGATAATACAATTTGTGAATCTTCAATAACTGAGATTTTCTATAAATAAAGAGGAGTTTAATTTCTTTCCTTATGATAACTATATTTTTAATAAATTTTTAGGCAAATGATAATTTTTTTTAACTACATTATAATTAAGTTTTTAATAAATGTTTTAATTCTACATGAATACATGATTGAGAAAACAGGTATTAAAAATATTATGAAGTCCAACATAAAGTTATCAGGTTACAATGGAAAGATGATACAAGTAATAGGTAAAGCACAAGTGAATGTAGAATACAAAGGGAATTCACATATTTTGAACGCAATAATCATAAACATCAATATGACTTTGTTAGATCATGTAAAAACATTTTTAAAATATATTTGAAAGATTCATAGGCATGATAGATGCAGATTAATATAAAACTGCGATCACATGAAGAAATCATAAAACAATATTATAATGACTATAAAAATAAAAACAATATTAAGTATAAATAAAATTGTGAAATTCATGATGAAAGTATATTATCTAAAGAAATTCTAATAGCTAAATAAAACAATGATAATAAACATACCTAATATAACACATAATGTAAATAAAGGGGATGAAACTCACACAGATAACATTTTGAAAATAGTTGATTCCAAATCATATTTTATAAGATTTATATTTAAAAAAAGTAAAAGAATTTGAAGTCTTAATTCAATTAAAGATGAAAAGATTTAAATTTAATAATTCCTAGAAATTAACATTACCTTTTACTACATTATATTAACTTAATAAGTTTTTTTAATACTTTGGGTTTAAATTATTATTATTAACTTATTAAACATATTGTTAAATTGAACTTTATAAAGTATATATAGATATAAAAATAGTGTGATAAACAGTTAAAAAACATTAAATAATAATATATATAATTTATTTTCTCTATACCCTGACTACTTTAATATTAATATTATTCTGGTAAAATTTTAAATCAGTTTCTATTAATTCACAAATTTATAGTTACAATAATAAATAAAAATATTACTTTTTGGAAGTAAGATGTTATTGTCTTTTTTTGCAACTGGGTTTCAACTCCATTTGTGATATTATATGGAATATCACAATTTAAAGATACCCAATTATTATTATCTCTTTTGATGGCTACCTTTGTAAATTTCATATCAGCTGGCTTGACATGAGGATGTTTATGTTTATAATGTTCATGTATCTTGTCACTTCTTATTTTAGAAGTTTTGCAATTTTTAATATTGCACTTAACTTTAAATATGGTTTTGTTACTTGGCATCTAGAAAGAAATAATTATTATAATATAATTTTTTACACATTATGTTTTTTATTATTCTTTGCTTGCTGATATATGTTTTTATGCATGACTCAAAAAATTATCTAAAATTTATCCTGCTAAAATCTATAAATTTATTAAAAAACATAATATAAATATATTAACCTCTAAGAAAAGTACCAAATAGGAAATGTGTAAATATTAACTTGATAAAATGCTAAATGAAAATCGTTGACAAAGAAAATTTATATTATTTATTAATTGACAAATATCTTTACTTTAATTGACATTTTTCAGAAAATCAAACGATAACCATCATAATCGTATCAATTAATGGATTAAAAAAAGATTATAATTCAAATCAAAAATTACCCACCAAAAATCAATACCTACCCCCAAAAAAATAATGCCTACTACCAAAAAATTAATATCAACCCCTTAAAATCGATACCTACCCCCAAAAATGCTAATATATTTTGGAGGCATTTGTCTCCTACCCCCCCCCCCCCCGGCCATGTAGACGCTGCCACAATAGATGTAATAAAGGGAGGGCCTCCTTTGATCGTATTATTTTGATCGTAAAATGGTCCATTTTGTCCATTTTAGGTCAAAATGGACGATTTTTTCAATTTATAGGTTAGGGTTAGGGTTATAAATGATTTTAATTTACCGCGATTAAATAGACCAATCATAAAAAAATGGACCAAATTTACGATCAAATGACTTTACGATCAAAGTTAGGCAAATCGTAATAAATTAGATATCTTTTCTTCTCTTTTTTACGTGTTTTTAGGAAAGCTATATTCTTCTTCGAAAAATAGATTTGAGTTAAATCTTTAATACAAATATATTTTTGATATTATTACAATACAAACTACTATTATTTTAAGATATAATATACTAACTAGAGATGGTGCGACAATAATAAATAAAATCTTAATTGCTTTCATGATATCACTCTGGTTCTTATTTTGTAGTTACAAAATGTTTCATTTCTAATATGGCATCCTTGCCGTGTAAATAATTCAAGACTTCAATATATTTGCATAATTTCTTCTAAAGATTTTAATGTTTTTGTTGTATCAATTTATTTAACAGAATAAATTGTGATGGGTTACCATCGTGAATGTCATGGATAGGATTGCAAATTAACCAGCATCTATTATTTTGGCTATGTAATTTAAGATTATTACTATAGCTGCTAAGAGTGAGAGCATATGATCGCATATTTTAGATAATCAATAGGTCAACTGTGTAGTCGTTTATATAACATTGAAAATGGAAGATAATCTTTTAAAAATTTAATATCATACAATAATTTTCTCGATTACTTATCTAGCTTCCATCATGTCATCTAAGAGGAAGCTCTAACCATCATATAGTTTTATGATTTGGATTGGTCGTTTATATTCTCTTCTTCAAGAATTGTAGATTTGGTAAGGTCTATAAATTTTTTCTTATTAGTCCATTCTATAAAACATAGTCTAAAATGGTAAAAGGGAGTTATATTAGTTTCATAACCTTTTGTCAATGTAAGTTGCTAAAAATTATAATATATTATGTAGTTTTTTCACAAACTATTATCAATTTAGGCATATATGAATTAATTAACCTTTTTTAACATTTATTATTCTTTAGACGCAAAATCATTTCACATCAACAATCGAAAATATTTTATACTCTAATAAATAGATTTTCTATTAAAAATATTATTTTTATATGCTAGTTTATTTTGTATGCAAAATATAATAAATCACATTCAGAATAATTATTTAGGGTAGTGATCTGCACGGGCCTAATTTTAAAGGCCCGACCCGGCCCGAAATTTTTTTTAAAAAATTTTTCCAGGCCCGGCCCGAACCCGAATTTTTTTTAATTCATCCTAGAGTAATAATTATATTTTTTTTTAGCTTTTAGTTTATTTTTTATATTTAAGATTTTGTTTTTGCAAAAAATATCTTAGTAAACAGAAAATTTATTTAGTATTTAATTATTTATTTAAAATACTATCAAAAATACCTATAAACCAAACAATAATTATAATGTTAAATTACACAACTATATATTAGATTCATATTTATAATTATCATTTAAAAATATCAAAGCATCAACATTTTCTGGTGGCAGTCTATTTCTTCTTTCGTCTAATAACCTTCCAGTCTTTGAAAAAGTTCTCTATGAAGTTGTGGACGTTGCAGGAATTGCTAGAATTTTTCTAGCCAATTTTGTCATCTTTGGTAATCTAATTTCATTTTTATTCCACCATTTTAATATATCTTTTTCTGGATGTATATTTTCATTATTCTCTTTTATATTTAAATTCTTATAAATTTCAAGCTCATCTGTTTCTTTTTTTTCATATTCTTCCTCATTGTCCTCCCATCTTTCATATTCATTGCCTGATATATAAAAATAATATAAATAGAACAATTTTAAATGTACCTTTAGATCTTTTAGGCGATTCCACAATTTGAGAAAAGCCTTGAATATCCAAATCTATAATATCAATTGAAGGACAATATTCTTCAGAATTAATTATATTTTTGACTGAATTCTCTACTTCTAATATTTCCATTGATGATAACATTCTTAATTTTCTATATTTGGGGCATAAAAATGTCGCTATTTTATGCAAAATATTGATTTTAAATTTAGATAATAAAAAAATTTTTAAATTGGTTTTTATTTCTTTTATTTCATTGTTTTGATAAAATGAATCATTTAAATCCTCGTGAAGAATATTATTAAAGCATAGCAGTACTTTATGTAAAGTAGGATTAATATCTCCTTCTAGTTCTTTAGTGGCTTTATCAAAAGGATATAAAATATCAATCAAATTTTTCAAAATAGATTTCTCCAAGTTTTCCATTTTATTAATATCTCCCTTGGATGATAAAAAATTGACGATGTCATCATATTGGTTATAAATAGATTTCAACATATTTAATTTTGAATTCCATCTAGTTTCGATATCTTGTTGTAATGTTTTGTCTAAATATTGATTCATGCCGGTTTGTTTAAAATACATGGTTATTTTTTTAGCAGAAATAAGGGTTTGATATATATTAGGAGCGATAATTTTCAAAGATTGTTCCTTAAAGGTATTTCGAAGAACAGTATTTAATAGATGTGCGCTGCAATTTAATCTGGTGTATTTTTCTAGGGCTTTAATTATATTAGCTCCTTGATCAGATATAAATATTATATTTTTCACTTGATCGGGAATTATTCCAATTGCAGCAAAATTTTGTAGCATTTCCTTATGTATGTTCGCGGCGGTTTTTTTCTCTTCTTTAAACTTATTCGTAAATAAAACATGTTTATATAAGGTTTCACCTTCGATATAATGAATTGAAACAGTTAAATAGGAAAACTTTTTAAAAGAATCTGTCCACATGTCTGTTGTAGCAGAGCATTTTTTATCAAATAATTGAACATTTATTTTATTAACCAAATTTGTTCTAATTTGATCCGTCATAACTATAGCATTTCTCGATAAAGTAGTTGGATGGGGAATAATTTCGCTACAGTCAATATTACCGTAAATGGAGCCAATTTGAATAAAATTTTGAGCCATTTTTATAAAGCCATCTCCAGTTATCGAATCAAAGGCACGCATGTCCTTGGCACAATAATAGATCAAGGTATCACATAGTTTCTTTTTAATAGTTAAGGAAGAATTTAGGTCTATTTTCTTTTGAATATACCTAGTTATTTTAGGAATAGAGGAATCGTCATTCTTAACGCACTTGTGACGTCTTAAATGAGAATTTCCAGATGTGCTTTTATATTGTAATATACTATTACATTTTTTACATTGGACGTAATCAAGTTTTTTGTTTTTATCATCAAATATGTCTTCCAAATTTTCCCATATATTGCTTTTACCTAAATGGGGCATACAAATATATGTTCCATTTTGTATTTGTTTTTTTAAAAAAATTAAATTCATTTTTAAATTATATTTAAAATTTAAGTTTTATAAAAAAACATTTAAATTATTATACCCATAATAAAATATATATGGCATATGGCGTCTACTTTCTAAATAAATAAAATTAAATATGTATATTTTACAAATAAAAAATGTTGCCGCCTTGTTTCTTAAAAAAAAGGTTTAATTATATATTTATACCAAGAATAAAAGATACATGCCATCATATGGCGTCTAGCTTCTTCAAATAAAATTAAATATTTTTATTTTACAAAAAATATTAGTGCCAATATTAAAAAATTTTTTAAGGCCCGGCCCGACCCGGCCCGAATTTTTTTTTAAAGTAGGCCCGAACCCGGCCCAAAGCCCGTTCGGGCCGGGTACGGGCCAGGCCTACTTTTGCAGATCTCTAATTTAGGGTCCCGCAAATTGGGAAGTATGGGGGGCGAAGCCCCTCATAAAAATTTCTTAGTTGAACCCCCTGAGATTGTAAAAGCTAGCGACGCCCCTGTAGCTTTTGTAAAATAATGGGAAGTTAATATGTTTTCATAGTATATCAAATTAAAACTTCGCAAGAATTTATTGTGAAGGAACATATGAAATAATGTATCTTAAATTTTATTCATTTAGAGTAAATCTTAATGTAATGGATAACATATTAAATCCCTAAAAATGCATCTGATATCTTTATATAAAACTAAACGAATTGCCGCCCTAATCTCACATGAACTCAGTCTGTTAAGCTAATTCACGTGTTTAATCTTGTCGACCCATACCAGTTTTTTCTTTTAAAGCGTATTATGGGTTCCTTTCACTATCTTTCTAATGCCCATCGATTATTCATAAAGTTGCCTTTATGTACGCACAGGTTACTGCAGATTGTCAAAAAATTGGGATTTCTCATCTTAATTTAAACCGTTTAAAATTTTATCCAGTTTTATGAGCATGCGAAGAATACTGAAGTGTTACATAATGACAGCTGTTAACGTGAAATCTTTGGTGTTTCTCTTTTAAAAACTATGATGATTAGGTAATTTTTCATGTCAAGCTACTTGGAAGGTAATAAATTATATAAAATAATATTTTCATCAAATTTTATTATTTTTAGATGATATAATTAGGTACCGATTGCTTATAGATGGAGAAGGGAGCGGTGATGATAAAAGAATTAATATGTTAATTAAAAATATAATGAAATGGCCTTTAACAAACAAAAAAGATGAAAGGTCTTGGGATATTTGATTATAAATATAATTACAGCAATTTTTAGAGATATTTACTATGAAAAAGTTTTTCTACTATTTGAACAATCGCAATTATCATTACTAAAGCTGCAAAATATTTTCCAAACTAATCTTTATGATCAAAAAATATATCTAGAACAGTTAAAAGATATTGGTAATATATATATATTGTTTTTTTTCAAATAATAATTATAAGAAAATAATACTAAACATGTGACAAACGAACTTGGGCAATGTCAAAATGACTTGAGACTAGCCAAAATAATTAAGAAAAACAGATTAGGTAATAATTTTATTAATTTTTATAAGAAATAATATTTAGAATATGATAAAATTGCCAAAATAATTGTAAAACATCCTGATAGAAATGATAGTATCAAGTTTTTGTTTTATATTACATAATAATCTTATGCTTTATTTAAGTAAATTAAATATACTTCAAAATGAAATTTCTAATTTAGAAAATGAAAAACAACTTTTAGATGACAAAGTAAATAGAAATCATTAAACATTCATACTTTTATTTAAATATATTAGTTTTCTTCACTTAAAAAACAATTTTCAACTTTTTTATATCTTGGGTATGACTTGTATACAATGCTTAGAAGTAAATAATGGAGAAATTCTAAATGACATTTTAATTTTGCAGATGACACTAATATTGAGATGGTTAATGATGAAAGCAATGTTAATGAAAAAAGTGATAAAGAAATGGACATTGATGCATCTCATAATAAATAATTTAATAGATTACAATATTGTGCTATAGAAATAAAAATGATTTAATTCACAATTATATTAGATTTTAAGGGTTGATTCAGTGGAGGACTTGTCATAATACTAAGTTAGCATTCTACCCTTAGGGCCATGTGAAAATGATAAATATTTGAGGCTGATCTGAAATTTTTATCTTATAAATATACTTTTTTTACTTATTTATATTTTATAAAATTATTTTAAATATATTTCCTTTTTTAACATTTAGATATATTATTCAAAAATGAAAACAAATCAAATAATAAATTATTTATATGCCATCCTATGAATCCAATAATTTACTATTCATATTCTTACCTTTGCATGGGTATAGTGTTGTTAAAAAGTCGAGTTCACCCAACTACAACTCAGAGTCTCTAGTCATTAGTCGAATAAGTTGACCAACTCAAGTATATAAACTTGAGTTGACTAGAGGATGAATAGTTCTACGAACTTAGTCAACTGGAGGATGTTCTATGAACTTGAGTTGTCGACTAGATGACGAATAGTTTTATGAACTTGAGTTGTCGACTAGAGGATGAATAGTTCTATGAACTTGATTAGTTATTATTAATTAATAAAACATTTGTTCTGTTTTTTTTATTTTAAACTTTATACTTCCAACTTGAGTCATGAATATGAAATATAATATACTTGAGTTAACTAGAGGACGAATAGTTCTATGAACTTGAGTCGACTTAAGGACAGAGATTTCAAATTAATTATTATTAATTTATAAAACATTTTTCTGTTTTTTTTATTTTTAGCTTTAGACTTCCAACTTGAGTCGTTATACGACTTATATACTTAAGACGACTAGAAGACTAATAGTTGTGTCGTTTTTTACGACTTTAACCCAAAGTTGTGGTCGTTTTATTCAATCCGATCCAAAATATGGCTCGTTTTTTAAAGGACGATCTAAGGCTTGGGTTGCTTTTTTACCTGACCCATTATCCAGATAATTTTTTAGACCAAAAGACTTCTAGAGTTGACTCCAATATATATAATAATAACATATCCAGATAATTTTTTAGACCAAAAGACTTCTAGAGTTGACTCCAATATATATAATAATAACATTTAGTATATATTAAAATTATGGGAGGGTAAGTTATTTTTAGCTTCTTTTAATTATAATGCTCTGACTTACTATTATTAATGCACTGGCATTTGTCATCGTTATTTTTTTAAACAGTGATTATGTACATAAAAAAGTGACAATTGTCATAATCGTTATTTTTGAATTTTTTAAGCAAATGGGTAAAAATATACATAGTAAACATGTTAAATTAAAATTTCATTGAAGGTTTACTATAGAAAAATGACAATTGTCAAAATTATTTTTGAATTTTTTTAAAGCAAATGGGGTAAAAATAGATATTGTAAACATGTTAATTAAAATTTCAGTGAATATGTACTAGAAAAGTGACAATTGATTTTAAAAAGTGCGAGTGGACCGGTTAAAAAATTTAAATGAGGCATTTTGATGAATAAATAGTAAAGGTTTCTGAAAATGCCTTGAAAAAACTGGCACAATTCGCAAATATATTGAGGGTTAAATTACATAACGAATTGTGATCATTTACCAGTATATTCAAAGTTTTAATAGCAGAATAAAATGAAATGGACGATGATATCATATGTACAAATGAGGAGTTAAAGGAAGAAGATGGAATATTACAATATGATTTGATAATAAATGTAATAGGTGTTTAATAGGCGTGTATGCAAGTTACAATGCACAAAAGTGCATACATTAATTTATTTTTGACATATGAATACATTTAAATTTTGTCATTTGCGGAGGTTAATTGCGAGAGAACATTTAGTAAATTAAAAAATTATAAAAAATGGGCAGAGCTAATATAGACCAAGAAAAATTAGACGCGTTTTTAATTATGTCAGTTGAACGAGAAGTATTAGCGCAGACTAGAAGATATTCTTGTTTATTTGCGCAAAGGTTCAGTTAATGAAGAGATTTATTAACGTAAAAATTATATATTATCTTAATTCTTTTAAATCTAATTTATATATATTTACAATATGATCGGTGCCTGATTTTATAATTGCAGCAATTTTATTCTCTGTGCAATATTGTATAATTGCAATAATTTTATCTGTAATTGATTTTATATATATTCATTATCTTTAAATACAATATATTCTTTTATTTCGGTATAAATATTGCTTGTTAATTTTTTTTGATATTATTAAATTTTTTGATATTACACAGTAAATAAAATAAGATATTAGTAATTTATGTAATACCAAATATAAAAATAAAATCATAAATTCAATATTAATTAATGAATAAAATTTAGATATAAATTGTAAGTAATTAGGGGGTATCAGTCATTGAGAATATGAAGCTGAGGTAATTGGATTTTATTATATTGAGGGCTAATCTTTGGCGTAGGTAGTAACCCTCGTTGGGATCTTCGGTCCTAGTAGAGATCCGTTTCCCCAGCTCTTTAAAGAAGGCAAGGGCGTGAGAGCCGAACGATGTTAAAGTCGTGGCGATTAGTGGTAGGAATGTGTAATTGGCCGGAAGCGATGGCGAATATTTAGCGAGTTTATTCGTCTCGGCGTCTACTAGAGCATCTCTATTTATATTGGAAGGGGCAAGGGGATCGATGCATGAGAAATCCCAGGTTAGAAATTCCCCCCTCTTCCAAGGGATCATGGTAGAGCCATCGGGACGCTTACCATCAGAATTGTAGAGTCCAGTGGGTTCTAGGGTTGATGGGATACCGGCAGATTTTAGGGCCCTGGCAATAGTATCATTGCATTTTGAATGTCTAATGAATCTGCCTCTACAGCGCTTGCAGTGTAAAGAGTGACGGCCTTTGGAGTTGACCGGCGTTTGACAAAGGATGCAGTGATAGGGTATTACCATATCACAATTAAGTCTTAGACCGATGGCGTGACGTAGCTCATCATTGCTTAGGAGCTGGTCAAGGTTTCGCGATGGAAAAGCTTCGAGAAATTCATACCCGCTGTCTGCGGAAATGGAGAAGAGTAGAGAATGGTCCTCGGGTTGGCTCCTCGATTTAAGGTATGCAACGGAGTTGCCAACTAGAGGCTTATCCCAGTCCTTATGCAGTGTCGATGAGGGAGGATCGACTAATGAAAGAGATTTCCATAGATCAATTGCCTGGGGAAGTAAAGGGTCAGGATGTTTTGTGAGTGCGTGTATGATGGGCTCGCAGGACAGGCGAGAGGATATGAACGCACTAACAGAGAGTAGGGAAGGCGATCGTATGCCAATGCCGCCGGATTTGGTTGGCAAGGTAGCTTGTAGCCAAGATAGGTCTCCGAATTTGAGATTGAGTATATCCTCTGTAAGGTGTTTAATCACTAGCTCGTGTGCAGCGAGGTTGACGTCGTATTGGAAGATACGTGACGATCGGAGTGTATATAGAATTTTTGGGATTAGGAGGTAGTTCTTTAATAGAAAGAACGCTTGGTGGGCTGGGAGGCGAGATAGTGTACCGCGCATAAGGGATATCTCTAGTAGAGTGTCGGCGAAGAACTTGACAAAGGACTTGTCTTTACCCACTGGAGATCCGAGATGTGTTAAGAAGTTCAATGGTGTATGATTGAACATAGGATCATAGTTAAGGTCGATGATTCCAAGAGGACAATATTCGCTCTTGTCTTGATTGATTCGCAGTCCCAAACTGCTCTCGCTGGATTTTATTATTTCGACCGCCTTCATAACTTCGCTGGGTGAGCCGCCTAGTATACCATCGTTGATATACCAGTTATGAAGGTTTAGTTTACATTGGTCATTTATGCTTTGTATTAGGCTATTAATGCCCAGACTGAATAAGAAGGAGCCTAGAGGGTCACCTTGTTGTATTCCACTACTAGAAGGAATCAATCTATCTCCAAATTGAAGATGCGATGGACTAGCATAACATTCGAAGATGAATTGCGAGTATTCTGGGTAAAGGGTAAGGATGGGATTAAGAAACGCTGTACGTTTTAGAGAGTTAAAAGCGTTTGAAAAATCTATCTTAATTAGGATATCGTCACTGGGGTCTGTTTGTAGATACATTCTGGTCATGTGTAAGGATACCTCGCATCCCCCTTTTACGTTGACTCCTAATTGATTAGGGCACAGGTGATTAGATACTGTGAACAATATTCTGCTCACTACTAGCTTTGCGGTTAATCGGCGCCAAGTGGTTCCAATAGCGATAGGGCGAATATCTTTATTAGGTTTGTGAAGGGCGATGAGTTTAGCTCCATAAAGGAGTGGAATAATGGCGGGTGGTAAGCCTCCAGCAAGCATACGGTTGATGAGTTGAGTAATTTTTTCCAAAACGTCGCATTGTTGTGTGATGTAAGGTGCGGTTAGATCCTGTATTATTTTATATTTAACATGTGATCTATGATTTGATTTTATAATGCAATATCGTTGTAAATCTAATATATATGTGCAATTTATGATGTCATACTATTCTTTTTTTATTAAAAAATATAAATCGTTCGAACTTATTTTCAAAAATAAGAATAAAAATCTTTATGAATAAAAAATATCAAAAATTTATTTATATAAATAAAAAAATTTTTTTTAAAATAAATAAATATTGTTAATGGTGAAAAAAACAAGAAAATTTTACTTTTTTATAACTTTTTTAAAATAGCCCCAAATTTTTTTTGAAAGAGATAGATTTATTTTGGGAGAAAGAAACAAGGGGAGGGATTGGTTATTTATTTTCTAAAATATTCAAAAAATTGGTGGTGGTAGCTAGGCGCTAAATTCTTTCAAAATTAAAATAAGAAATATAATATTAATATGTGTATTGTGAATTATGACTAATAAATTGAATTAATTTAAATGTATTATTTTCCTTTAATCTTTTTTAAAATATAATTGTAGAATTTTTAGATTTTAATTTCAATGTTATAAGGGATATTCAATCATGAAGAAAGAAAGAATGTGAAATTATAAGTATTTTTTGTATATGCTATTCATCTGCACCCCCACCCCCCCCCCCCCCCATTTTTTATAAAAAAAATCTAAACAACCCTTGACCCATAAAATTTAAGAATCCTCATTCCTTCAATTTTTTAAGCATATAAACCTACAAAAAGTTCTATAATTTAGCAAGGATAAAAATATTGAATTTAAATTATCAAGATTTTTATGATAATATAAAATTATTATTTATTAATATTATATATAATTAAAATTCGGGAATAATAATTAATCCACTATTCTTTTTGAAAAATATTACAAAACGCATTAACATT